CTACCAATAAACATTAAAAATAGACGAAGTACACTAGAAACTTGATATTTGAACAGAAAAGGCAGAACAACTTGAAATAATTAAAATCATGGTCTTTAAAGATGCAGAAAATTATTGAATTAAGAGTAGTGGTAACTAATCTGAAAGAAAATGAATCAGAAGAAGTGTATATATATAATTACCGTTTCTTCTATAACTAACATTACTAACAAAAATTTAAGTAATTCCAAGATCACTGTAGCAAAGTTGAAATATATCAATGTAATTTATCTGATTTAAGATTCAAAAATTATTTAGTAGCCCATTAACACTAGTTGATATTGACTAGTTTTTTAATGTAGACCTTAAGGTTTTTGTCATCAAAGCTAACATTAATCTCGTTAGGCATTCCCAGACAAACGAAATTGTTTTTTTACTGGAATGAAATAACTAACTAGACTAGGATATTCTTCATTAATTTTCACTGTAGACATTTAAGGAATGTAAATAGGATGGGATATCTTGGGATGAGTGCACAAAAGGAGAATTGTAAATGTTTTTTATGATGATTGACCTAAATTTTTATTTACAGCTTTGTGAAATAGAAAATTTCCGTGTAAATCTTTGATTATTTTTAAAGAGTTTTCATTTGACAATATTAGAATTAATCTTAAATAAATCGGTTAAGGAATGACTAAACCTTATTAAAATGAGAAAATGCATAAAACATCTAATATGAGATTCACTTAAAAGAATATTTTTTGTTCATTTATTTGTTTATTTTAAAACTTTAGTAGTATGTGTAAATCATAGATATTTGGGTTTTATTCTTTTTATCAGAAGGGTTTTGTGAAGATCTTAGTAATTTTATCGTTGAATTCATGAGTCAATTGAATCTAGACCACCACTTGGAAGCACTGGATGGCTGTTTCGTCCTAGTATGGAACTTCTCAACAGTGCGCATCCACGATTCTTTTGTTAAGAACATTCTTAACAAATTAGAAATTTTACAGAAAAATAAGATTCACTACTGTAATAAATATTCAGTTTGGAAATGACTAATGGAATACTACAGTTTATAAATTGTTCTTAAATTAATGCCTCTCAGTTTTGTAAGATAAATGTCAGTTAGCGTGACAATATTTATGGTGGATTTATAAACATAAAACAAATGATTGTATTCTGAATATTATCATCTTATAGTGAAATTTGAGATATAAGTTACGTTGGTTGGAATTTATCAGTAACTCATGTCGATTTCACAGTGTTCATGTCAACTCTGATTACACTACTAATAGCTTTGAAAATGAAATTGATATTTACTGAGCTGATCAAATACCCATATGACGAGTTCTCAGTAAAATATTCATTCTTGATTTGACTAGTAATCATTACCACAAAAAAAATTACTAAACCTTCAATGGGAGCCTGACAATATACCAGCCGAAGTACCAAGGTCAGACATTAAAGTAACTGCAAACATGCTCCAAGTTCCATTCAGGTAAATTCGGGAGAAAGAACAAGTGCCACTGACAGACTGAAAATAAGGATATTTTATCAAGATACCAAAAAGGGATCTAATCAATTTTGAGTACTCACATGTATAGGCATCACACTACTATTGGTACCAGGAAAAGTTTTCAACAGTGTCACTGAACCGGATGAAGACTCAGCGGACATCCAGCTTCCAGATCAACAAGGCGGGTTCCATAAGGATTGGTTGTACACAAACCAAATTCTGACATTACTGATCATCGTTGAACAATCAGTTGAGTGGAATACGTCACTATACAGCCACTTCCTTGATTATGAGAAAGCATTAGAAAGCGTGAATAGACCATTGTGGAATCTTCTTCGATACTATGGTGTACCTGAGAAAATAGCCAATATCATCCGGAATCCATACGATGGACCACACTGCAAAGCAGTGCATGAATGACATCTGACAGACATATTTCAAGTAACGACCTGAACCAGACAAGGCTGCCCACTCTCCCCTTTTCTCTTTTTTTGGTATTCGGCTAGATTATGAAGACTTCGATATCTGAGGGGAAGCACAGAATTCAATGGACAGCTTGGATGCAAATGAACGATTTGGACTTTGCAGATGACATAACTGTTCTATCCAATACACACAGACAAATGGGAGTCAAGACAACTAGTGTATCAGAAGCCTCTGTATCAATAGGCCTCAACATACACAAAAGGGAAAAGAAAAATCTTCAAATACATTACAAAGAACACCAACCTAATCACACTTTTTGGGGAAACTCTGAAACAAGTGGAATCTTTTACGTACCTATCTGGACAGCATCATCGATGAATGTACTGGGATAGGATGCAGACGTAAAGGTGAGGACTGGCAAAGCAATGGTCGCATTTCCTACAGTTGAGGAACATTTGGAACTCAAATCAATTGTCTGTCAACCAAGATCAAAGTCAGAATTCTCAATGCGAACTTCAAAACAGTTCTACTATACGGAGCTGAAACTTGGAGAATTACCACAACCATCATCAAATATCTACAAGTATTGATAAACAACTACCTTCGCAAGATAGTGAACGTCTGTTGGCTAGATACCATCAGTAACAGCCTACTGTGGGAGAGAATAAACTAACTTCCATCGGAGGAGGGAATTAGAAAAAGACGTTGGAGGTTGTGGGTTGGACATACATTATGGAAATCATCAAACTGCATTATGAGGCAAGTGCTGACTTGGAATCCTGAAGGGAAAAGGAAGAGAGGATGATCAAGGAACACATTGAACCGGGAATCGGAAGCAGACATCAAAAAGATTAATAGCAAGTAAAAACAGCTAGAAAGTATTGTCCAGGACAGAGGTGAATGGAGAATGCTGGTGGGAGGCTTATGTTTCTCCATGAGAGGTAACAAGCGTAAATAAGTAATCATTCAGGTCCTCGTTCGAGTGGTCAATACTCAGCGATTCTTTGAATTTAGTTTTGAAAATTAAAATGAAAAATATACAAACCTTCATAATTATTTATATATGGTCAACAAACTGCTAATGTGGGAAATTCTATTATTATCCTCCATACGAATGTACACATACATAAGTAAGCAGCAAACAATCGGGTGATTCAGGTTTTCACTTTACCTTGATTCTTTCTCTTAGTAATTGAATACTAACAATTACTAGAATATTATTTTGATTTTTTTCTGACATTACTCAGCCGTGGATATGTGTAATTTCATATAGAATCAGACTAAAAAACTATACGTATTAAAACTAGTATGATATCTTTGAACTTCTGATTAATAGTTCAGCAGATGAAACTTCTGAGTTTAATTATTTCCTTGTCTGAATGTTTTGATACAGTCTCAGACTATCTTCATGACTTTTTTTATAGCTATATCCAGAATTCTATGGGTTTTTTTTGCGATACAGAACGTGTATTTATTGAAATCCAACAACCATTATTTCAAAAATCAATGTAATAATCACTGGATTAGTGAATTTTTTTTAAAAAATACCTCAATTTATAATATAAATAATAGATGTCAGTAATTATTCTACAACTCCCTTTATTCCGTTTTATTCTTGTAACTATTGCTAAGGTTAATCATTTTGAAAGAAAATTTCATGTTTAGTCTACTTTTATAAGTTTAATTGTCATGAAAATTTAAAATGAAGTATTTAAAAGAAAAGTCAGTTAATTTTATATAACATTTATTAACTAATTCAAACAATATAGTGAAAATTCCCATTTTGACATTTGTTAAATCAAAGAAAGGAATGAATTGAGCGAAGAAATTTCTATTCAATTAGTTTTTCATCATGGCTCTACACTAATATATATATATATATATATATATATATATATATATGATTTAAAATAATGAAATAATACTCATCGAGTAGATACGTTACATAATAATTACATAATGACATTTCGATCATAAATTAACATTGGGTAATTGGAAGAAAGAGGATTAATAATAATCAAATTAATAGTCCGAAAATCAAGAAGCTGCTACGTTGCATAATATATGAAGAAGACAAGGAACAGAGTATTTTGATGAATGTTCAGTAGGATAGTAGTTGTGTAAGAATCAAGAGATGAATGTTGAGAATATGTAAAATACAAAGTTCAAAAAACAAAATGGAAGAAGTACGAAAATAGTTTATCAGTGTTTTGCTACAAAAGCCCCTATACCTATGGCCAAGGCAGGGAAAGTGGTTGTACAAACTTCTTCTGAATGCAAAGGTTAGGTTTGTGAACATGGATTGCAATGGCTCCAGTAATGTGCAAAAGACGCACTCGTAAACCATGAAATATGGTAGATAACCTTAAAAGCTTTATTCAGTTCAACTCGATGACCTGTGTCAACCAAGTGAGCGAGAATAGAACTCTTAATCACTCTTACCCGTCCTTTGCTCAACCACGACGGATAGTGCTCTGTTATACGATGACGAACTTGTCGAATTGTACATCCTATATAACCGGTTCCATAGGAGCAGTTGAGTCGATAAATACACATGGATTTGGCGAACTCAGGTAATCTGTCTCTATTCGCCGTTCTTATTGTGGGGTGGTTGTAGAAGATAGCATTTAGTCTGACTGCATTAAATGTTTTCTGTACCACCTACGTTGACTTGTGAGTTACAATCTCGTATCTGCTCAATGAGTATTTTTTCATTATTGTAAATCATATATATATATATGTATATATATATATATATATATATATATATATATATATATATATTAGTTTAGAGCTATGATGAATAACTAATTGAAAAGAAATTTCTTCTCTCGATTCATTCCTTCTTAATTCAAACAAGTATCATGTTCAAGTATTGATTAAATGTATTTGGTTTCATTTATACTCATATCCTTCAATATTAGAATGAATGGTTTGAAGAAACTTGGGCGCCATATATATGTATTTGAAATAATCTCAGTGATTGAAATTTAAATAATTCTAACGTTTCCTTTTCGCATATAATGGTTTAATTTCATTGTTCTATCATATACTAAAATATATAATTTGTTTTTAGGTATTTACTATGAGAAGTGATAAAATTTACAATTTATCGAATATTTCAACGAATGATAATGATAATGATGACGATGATATTTCGTCTAGTTCGTATACAAATTCAACGGATAAAACACACTATAATAATTATTCTGTTGTTGAATTGATTAGAAATTATAATGGACTTCAAGGTAAGTTTTCTTTAGTAATTATTTAACGACTGAGCTTAATCTATAAATTTCCTGTTTATATTAACTTAAAATTTATGTGTTCTGTTCTTTTCAGACTATTACATGTTGTACGGTATATATATATATATATATATATCATATCATATCATATTGTGTCACTTCAGTGACTAGTTTTACTTCAGTCCATGTCTAATTCATTGTTACTATTGTTATTAAATAACATTTTACAGTTATTGAAGTGCAATATTTCTATGGTGTTTTTGTCTTTTTTTCTACCAAGTTTTATGTAGAAAATATTGCGTCTACTAGAATAAATGATACAATGGCCAACTGACAACTGACAGTTAAATTTTCATCATGAGATTTAAACTGTTCAACTTTCGATAAAAAAATTAAAAAAAACAACTTTCTGAATAATTATTCTAATTTTAACTCTGTATAACATATAAGCTTTCATAAGTCCCTTATGTTAACTATGTAAAGTAAAATTATTGATGTGAAGGTTACACATGCCAATTAAGGTGTAAAAAGAATATGTCCGTTTATTTTACTTGAATCTGTTTTCCTTTATAGTACTTTTCATGTTAATTTTCAAAATAACATGGATAAACGAGTAATATGTAAAAGCATCAAGCTTGAATAATGACGTTTCACTCAATTGTCATTAATAAGATAATGACTAATAGTTTTTATGGTTTTAAGATATGTTTTTGTCTATGGATAGAAGTAAAGTTACAAGTTTAACTTTGAAATTTCCATACAAATTATTTGAATATCTTATAGATATTGTAATTAGAATTTTAATGTATACGGCTTCGAGGATTCAGTTTGGTATTTATTTAATTTAAAATAGTAATTCTGCTTCTTCATTATTAATTAAATAAACAGTATCTAACCGTATGGCTGTTTATACTAGTTTGAATAAAGTTCTGTAGTTAATCTTTTTTTAAAGGTTAGTTACCATGTGTTTTGTAAATTAAAATTGACGTTTACAACATATTTGTAAAATTTGTGTAACTTTAGCTGTTTTAGAGTCGTAACACTACCATCGGGACTTCTACTCGGTATGCATTGATATAAATTAGCATAACGAAACTTATCATTCTAAACAACTCAAACTACTTAGACAGTATTTTGATTAAGTTCAAAGGTAATATAAATATAACATTCGATAAATAATAGACAGGATCTTTTGAATTCAGCCAATAAATTTACGCCTAGGAATGGTTTACAAGAAATTCAATAATTTTTTGTGCGAACAAAATGTGTGCATTTGGTCACACTGAACAATCATTTTAAAATATAATTGATCTCATAAAGTTTATCTCCAGAGGTGATTTTTTTGTCTTCCAGTATACTTTACAACAATTAGTCAGTTTTCTATACGCTTGATAATATTACATTTTACCAAACTCTGAGTCATTACTAAATCATATGAGTCTATGTTTGAATTATATAATCGGTAGCTGTGTTAATAAAAATTACCGAGTAATGTAACTAAAATTTTATAAATATTTTTTAACGAATATAAACATAAGAAAAAGAAGACAACTTATGTTGCAATTCACTTGGTATTATTTACTTGAATCTTTCCATTGACGTTGAGAACTGCATTTGAACAGTCTATTATTTACATATGTGCATACTGTGCGTATTGCCTCGATGTCGCCTTAATCCATAAGCATTATAAGCAAAGATGGATAATGGATAGCAGTAGAATCCACGACGCATTTTCTGTCCCATTTTGGACTCGTGAGCTGGATGTATCTGCATCTCAGAGTTGATGTTCACTCTGGGACTCGAACCCAATACCGTTCGCTTCGAACGCCATCGCGTTATCCCCAATAGGACGAAGAGAGTCCTGAATTTCACTGCCAGCCACTGTCCGTCTTTGCTTATAAACTTATGTCCCATCTGAATTTATGACCAGTAATTAAGTTTCTTTTTGTAGAAAAGAAATCTTTAAAAAATTATGACCTTGACAATTATTAGCCAATCAGGAGACAGTTAGTATAAAGTGAAAATACATTATAAGAAAGTAATGAATTACAGTGGATATTCTTCTTTTACATGATTTAAAAACTTTTTAAGGTTTAATAAAGGCTCAGGGGTTCTGAATTCATAATGTATATGGTATAGAAACTCGTCCATAGGGTTAGGGTTTAGGGTAAGGGTTAGGGTTCAGGGTTGTAGCCTAGGGGTAGGGTTAGGGTAAGAGTTAGGGTTAGGGTTGTAGCCTCTCAATAAACATCTCCCCTTTAAAATCCGTTGTAAACCAATCGTATGTTAGCACCCTAACCCTAACCTAACCTTGACCCTAACCCTAAACCCTAACCCTAACCCTAACCTAACCCTACCCATAACCCTAACCAAAACCCTAACCCTAACCTAACCTAACTTTAACCCTAAATCCTAACCCCTAACCCTAACGCTATGGACGAGTTTCTATACCATATACATTATGAATTCAGAACCCCTGAGCCTTTATTAAACCTTAACAAGTTTTTAAATCATGTAAAAGAAGAATATCCACTGTAATTCATTACTTTCTTATAATGTATTTTCACTTTATACTGTCTTCTTATTGGCTAATAATTGAAATTGCTCAAACGCTTCTGATTGGCTCGTCCCTAAATTAGAGTCTCTCCAATATATTCCTTTATTTAAATAGAATTGTTATTTACGATTCGGTTTGTATTACTGTTCTTGTTTTGATGCTTGTTGTAGACCGCTAAAATTTTTAACAGTGTTTTACAGTGAACATGTTTGATAGACGGATAGAGAAGAATATTTCCAGTGGTGATAGTTATAGTGGTAGAATTACTCAAATAAGCCATTAAGATTTCAACAAACGATAAGATCCATTGGTATGAAAAGAAACCAGCATTTTTTCAGGATAGAAAGTATACAAAGTAAATGCGTTTTATTGAAAGATAACATCCAAAAACAATACCTTGGTGTTGTTCATTTACACAGAATAGTTCTAAGAGGAAGTAGACAACTGTTCTTTATAAGTACGAATAAATCAATACCTTTACATTGGGTTTCTCTAAACAGCATGATGACTGGAGACTTCAGTGTTGTATCAATACTGATTACTAAATGATTATATAATGATACACATATTCACTTGTTTGGTCAGTAAATTCAAAGTCTACTCTACGGGTAAATATATTTGTCTACGAAGTGTTCTCATGTTTTAAAAAAGTATTTAGATTTTTATAAGCAAAGTTGGATAGTGGCTAGCAGTGGAATCCAGGACGCGCGTTTCCTCCTATATGGGAATCGTGAGCTGGATGTACCTGCATCTCAGGGTTGATGTTCACCCTGGGACAATACCAAGTGAATTATTTAGATTTCTCTAAATTTTATTGGTTTCTTTCTAACCTCATTGACAGATTGATGGAAAACAAAACTACAAGAAATTTTATAATGATAGTAAGGAATTTTTCCGTAGATTAATACTAAATATGTAACTACATTAACTTTATTTTCATATAACGGAATTTACAGTATTATATTTTTAATTCAAGCATATCATTTTATATCATATCCATAAATAAATTTACTTCAAATAAATAATTAAACCATTAGTCAACCCATTTCACATGTGTTTTTAGTTGTTGACTACATTCAACTATATTCATTTCTAAAGAATAAATAACTATAAAAAGTAAACAAAGAAAAGGTAGCAGGAAAACAAAAAATAAACAATTACATTAATTAATTTCTACCACCACCATTGATACTATTGTGGTGCGTGCTACTTATATTGATATAAGTAGTATATGACGCGAGTCAGGAATGTGATGTCTGGCGTCAGAAGATGGGGAAGATCAAGAAAGGAAGTGCGGGAATAGAAGGCAATTAGTATGGAAATGCAAGAAAAACGAAGTTCGAGACAATTATTGAACATTTTGCAAATTAGGTATTATAGTATGGTTTTTCTATTTTACCAAGTAAATCTGTTTTCTTGGGGGAAAAACCCCGCTGAATTTTCATATTTTTTCCATTTTTATGTTAGACTGTTTATACGGGAAAAAAAGGTTAAAAACTACCACACCTTAGGATAACATAATATGTTGAATCAGCACAATCGATACTCATTTTTATCGATATGAAATTGAATATTAGATTATTCCAAATTGAAATTCAGTAATAAACAGAATATAGATCTATTCAAACACTGTTGTATTAATGTTTGTTTGTGTTGAACCATTTCCATGAGTCTAATTATTATTTATTCTAGAAGAGTTTTTGTGGATATTATAGTAATTCCAATGGTTGATATCATGAGCCAATTGAAGCTAGATCACTGTAAAAACCTGGAAGCACTGGATAGCCATTTTGTCTTATTGTGAGACTCCCCATTAGTGCACATTCACGATCCTGCCTCGAGAGATTTGAACCCACGACCTGTTGGTCTCGTGCGCGGTAGCTTAATGTCTAGACCAATGAGCTAGCCGGCATCCAACTGTGTGACGACGGACCACCGGTGAACTCGAGGAAGCTGTAAGAGGCTCATAAAGAGCCGAAGACGTTCCATCCAATCACCTTTCGGAAGAATGTTCTAGAATTCCAACGTGTAGCTTCCCCATTGGATAATGCTAATAACCCCCTGTACGCGGATTGGAAGACTGTAATGATGATTTCGTTCTCACTAAAAACTATAAATACCTGACAATTTTGTACTATGTTTGACACTGTTTGGAATAATATTCCTTTCGTTAGTCTTCTGTCTTCTTATTTGCGACTTGGAAGGGTTTGGTGTTCTAGTGCTCAGTTATACGCGGTAGTATCCAGAAAAATCAGCTTTTTCAAGTTATAACAAACTGTATTAATCTCTAACTTCAACTAATCCACGGATTTCGCGCCACCGTTCACCTTTGTCTTCAGTGAGTTACTATCTCACAATAGACCCAGTTAAAGTTCACTGGTCACTGCTTCTCACTAGAACTCTAGGAAATATCTCTTGAAGCGAGTCACTAGTGAGCGTATGT